AAAGAAAACTAATTAAAGCAAACACTTTGAAATTTTTTTAATCGAAACGATAAAAATAAATATAAAAAACTTATTTATTCTGATGCTATCGGACATAAATGTAGATATGACTTAAAATTTGTGATACTAACTATCCACAAAAGCGGTTACATTTTTAATCGTTTTTAGAAAAAAAATACTATTTATTTTGTTTCTTAGCACATGTAGCCCAGGCTGAGTCGCTTTTAATCTCCTATCTTCCAATTTAGAAAAACCTCAAGCGTTCCTAAAATCAATAACTTCATTGGCAATGATTCCAAACATGAGATTTCCTGTGTATCTATATAAATCAAGCATAGAGAAACTGATTAGTTTAATTTAATTATCACTATTGAATCGAACAAATCATCAATTATATATTCCTATTAGGAACAGCAGTTATTTCATCTTTCACACATTATTTGTATAGAAACTGTGCTCATAGTTCTTTAAAATTAAGAAAAAATAATTGATAAGAAAATATTAAATGTGGCGTGCTGAAGAATAACAAAAGAAACTTTCTTCAGCTCTTCATAGAAAATAAATTTTTTATTGCATACTGTTTTCTTATCGCTAGAAAGCAATTATTTAAGTCATTTTTCTAGCAATATATATATTCATTAACTATATTCTATTTTTATCATATAGAAATATAGCTTTTTTCCTTTTCAATACATTTACATTTAATAATGACAATCATCAAATGATGTGCACTCTATTTGTACTATTCGTCATAAACCAAACATTTCATTAAAGACTATCCTTTACAACCAGAGATCCATGATGAACAAATATTCACACTCTCTCTCGAGGGTGCAGATGTGAGTAATGTTCTATTGTGCACATGCTCAAGATGATTAAATCGACACATTAGTCGATGATATGATATGTGACTAATAGACTATTCTCACCTATTTATATTCACACTTAGAACTTTTAGAAACGTTGATTGATGAAGACTTGACCTGGTAAACTCATGCGAAATGATAACGTTTTCTAACTTAAATATCTCGCGTGCACAATGATGAGTGATTACATCAATATCTATCGTCATCAAATGTCTTTATAATGACAAAATGTAAGATACAGAAGGAAAATTTACAGAATAGTGCGTGTGGGTGTAAAAGAAGTGGAGACTCATCCATACCCAAGCCAAATTTTCAGGAGAAGAACTTAATTATCTCTTGCACGTCGAATAAATAAAATTTATTTTTCAAAAAATTCAATATAAAACAATTTTCATTTTATTCATTACATAGTTCATATTTTTGAACTCGATGATTGTGACAATCAGCAACATAAAGATTTCCTTCAACATCAAATGACAGACTTCTGGGATCATTTAATTGATTTGATTCTTTTCCTTTACCATTTTCACCAACAACAATTGAACCATTTATATCTCCTTCAAGCCATTTCATAACTCGATTATTGCCAGAGTCTGCAATAATAATTTGACCTAAATTATCAACAATCACTCCATGAGGACCATGTAATTGGTTGAGATGATTTCCTTCACTATTTCCACCAGCAACAACAATTCCTTCTTTTGCATTTTTTTTCCATTTCATTATACGATGATTTTGACTATCCGATACATAAACAGAATAATCCTTATCAACGAAGATATCAGCAGGCCTGTGGAGTTGATTCCGAAGATTTCCTTCGCCATTTCCACCTGCAACTATCGCTCCAAATGTATCTCCTTCTTTCAATCGTCTCACTTCATTCTTCATCCAATTAGAAACATAAATAGACCCATCTTTGTCTATTGCTACACCCCAACAGGTAATATCAGAAATGCGAATTTGTGGGCTTGTTTGACTTTGACGAAACCAGCGCACCACTCGATAGTTCCCAGAATCACATATGATTATCGCATTCTTTCGTTTGTCAACAGCTACGCCGAGTGGAGAGTGTAATTGATTCAGTCCCCCTCCAAATCCCTGGCCGCCTGCAATGATTTGACCCCTCTTTGAGTTATATTTCCATTCAACAATACGATGATTTCCATTTTCAGAAATCACAATGGTATTATTATCATCAATATTGATTCTATTAGGAAAATGGAGCTGATTTGATAGATCTCCATGCCCATTTCGTCCAGCAACAGTAACTCCATATTGTTGCCATTTGTTATATTTTGGCTTGCTTTGTACTAAAAGTGAAGAAAGAAGATTTCCGTTAAACTAAAATCTAACAATATCGATTTATTAAAAAAATATCACAACAAAACATATGACTTGACTGAGGATCGGTATGGGTGTAGGTATGAGTGTTCTTTTAATCATACTCACATCCACACCTTGATATGTGATTTTCTGAGAGACTTAATATTAATCGATATTCTTCCATATGCTAAAAATTCTATTATGGATCTCAGAAAAGTTTTTGATATTGTTACTTTGAAGTATCATATATGAGTTCTACTTCTGTTATTTGAAATAAGTGTTTGTCTCATTTTGACTACCTGTTGTTGCCTTCATTTTTGTTGTTGTTATTTCAGTTGTGTTTCTTTCCATTGTTAATATTTTTTCACTGTTTATCTTTTTTATTTTGATGATAACAATTAGAATCGTTGTAATTATAATAATAAAAATAATAATAATAAATATGATCCACGTTAATTTACTTTCTCGAAAATATTTACATCTAGAATGATCGATGTCTTTTATCAGTGTCTACAATTTATAGTATACGTACAATTTGTTTGGTTGAGTTGCATTCGAAGTAATTGTTCCAGACTAAAATAATCAACAAAGACAAACATTATATTTCATGACTTTTCTTTTTCTCAATAAATTACATTATCAACTCCTATTCTGTTGTTGTTGTTCATTGCTAATATTTTGTTAAAAGTTCAATACTTTTACAATCTAAAATTGACAAGGAACTTTTTTCATTTATAAATATCTAGTTATTAGTAATGCAATTATAAAAAACCTAAACTATTTATTTGAATATCTTTTCTATTTCCATCAGATTTCCTCACTTCTTTCAACTAGAAAACTGTTAAAATAATAAAAAAAAAATGTTTATCATGCTCTCTCTTTCTCTTTCTTAAATAATCAGTTCTTCTATGACGTATATCATCATGTTCATGTAAAACATTTGCAACAAAACATTATATATCAATAAAAACAATGAGCTCACTTCCTTTGTCAATGTTAATTTTCAAAAAAAAATTTTGTCGGGTAGAGTTCTTATCTCTTATAAATATATGATGACAGATACTGCGAATAATTTCTAAAATTTGTTTATTATTTTATTGATATCTGTATAAGAGAACATATTTTTCTGCATCCTTCTCTCATTTGTTATTATTCACAAATTATTATCTGTTATTGATATTTATTTTCTGTTGGATTGAATAAAAACAAGTTGTTTCTTTTTAGTTACATTCTTCAATAATGAACTGTCAAAAGGTTTTTTTCCTCTATTCACCTACATAATGATGTCAATGGAAATTTTCTTTTTTATTGAAATTATCAATAAATGAAAACAATGAATCCATGTTCCTTTTCAAGACTGATATGAAATGTTACGTATTATTAACTGTAAATATAGAAGAATGCTCATGATATTGAAATTTTGTCGGAAGGATGTGAAAACAAAATCTAATGTTATTTTTGTTAAGGATACATCAGAAATCATGCCTTAACGAAGGAAATACAACACTTCCTGAACAATAAAATAGAATTTTTTTGACAACAAAATATTTTTGTTATTTTGTATTCAGTTGACTTTGTTAGTTATCAGAAATATATTGTATTATTGATTTTATTCGTATTTCACAGATTAGATAAATGATAAGAAAAGTACAGTTGTTCATTTTCAGAATGAATCTTCGTTAAATACTCTTCAACAATATGAATATTATCGAACACCTAAAATCTGTAAGAAATAAACACATAAACAAAATAATTAGAGTTGCACAGAATCGGTTGAATATCATGACGAATAATTATGATCAAATTAATATAGTTGTAAGTAAAAATAGTATATTAATCATTTCTTTTGTTCTATATAATTTGAGTACTTTCTTAAAAACAACAACATTTCGATCATTCGGCAAGATTTCAATCAATAAAGATAAAATATTTTATTATGACGTAGAATTAAATTATTGAAGAGTTGATTCATTCTATCAAATCCAAATAACTATCTACAGATTCATTTTTCTAAAAATAAAATTTTATCAAACAATAATCCAACAAAATTTTGTAATATCTAAAAGTAAATTGAATGTTATGCAAATCTATCCTTTCTCTTACTTATCCGAACTTCTGTTTATTCAACTCAAAAAATCAGCATATTTTATCAGGTAAAATATTTGTAATAAAAGGATAATAGCGTAGGTATGGCTATGGGTATAGCTGTGGGTGTGAGTATAATTAAAAAAACAACCACATCCACATCCTCATCCACCCACGCAGTCAGTTTTAAGTTCAGTGAACGAATCAGGTTTGCCTTTATTTGAGCCAAATATCAACGAATCCATATTTTGACAGTACCAAAATATATATCCCTCGTTATTATAGATGTTGATGGTAACTGTTGGTGTAACCAGTTGATAAGTTCATCGTTTACCATTGTAGTGATATTCATTCTATACGACCAGTCGTCTAAACATCGAACGATTATTGCTCGTAGACTAGGCATATTATTCACAAGATTAAGGATGTTTTTTCGATTTCTGACTGTAATTAGAAGAGTTTCACATTGAATACCTAAAGATGAACGACTCAGTTGAATACACTGTGTTTCATCAAAAAAGCACTTGAGACCATAACTATATAGTCGAAAATCGAGCTGATGAACCGAATCATTTTCGAGTTTCATCAGTAGTACGTCAGGAATAGACGATGACCAAATACCGAAACGTAATGAATGAAGACACGGTGCCCTCTTAAGTAAAACTTGCAATTGTGATTGAATATTATTCAGATTTTGTTTTGTGTCTATGAAGACATAGAGTATATTGAGCTGATCAAGTTTAGAAATAACTGTTAAAAATTAATCGTTGAAAGGAAGCGATAATGAAAGATGCTGAATGTTAGGAAAATAAACATAGGATACGATCCAGTTTGTAAAAGCTGAGGATCCATAGTATAAGCTAGTGACACGATCACATGTTAAATACTCATCATAAGACGGATCTGTCGATTTGACTAAAATACAATTAGTGCGATCCGGAAAATCGACAAAACTATATGGTAAAGTAAAAACATGGATACAATCGAAATTAGAGTTTTCATCTGGAATATACCAATGAGATCGAACAAACCATCGATGTTCATAAATCCAAAAATTTGTTTGAAATGAATTATGGATCTGTCTTAATTGAATCTCCTTGCCTTCGTCAGTCGATGGTTGAAATTTCGTTTGAAACTGAAAAAGTTTTGGTTCAGGTAAATATTCTCGAATTATTTTTTCCCATTGAAATCCATCTATATAAATATTATCGGATTCTCATAATAAATAATATAGGTTAGGCATACGTTGTAAAAGATGTTCTAGCATATCTTGTGAACCCTGAAATGTAATTTTTAAATGAGTAATTGAGAGAATGGGTGATGTTAATTCCAGTTGACCAGAATAATCTTTAAAATTAATGGAGAGATAGTTAAGATTGGGCGTATGTTGAAATAAATTATTAAGTGTTGATAAATTGAAAGGAATATGTTTAATTACTACATTTCTGAGTAATTTAGAAATAATATTTAAGATAGGAAAATAAGCGTCAACAGGAAAACGGCTCTTCATAGAATAATGTGTTAAGTTTCTTTGATTCCATATATGATGGAAGAAGCGTTGTTTGTCATCATTATTCATCGACATATGATCATCGGTAAATGTAAGATGGGAGAGCGAGGGAACATAGGAACATTCAACCATTATTCTATTAAGTATTTGTTTAGATTCAAAGTATGTTAATGATATCGATTTTAAACGAATAAACTGACGAAGTTGATAATCATTTCGAGAAAAAAACAGTTCAGTTTGTTGTAGAGTATCATCATCATCTGAAAGATGGAGTGAAATAATTCTATCAATGACCAGTGGAACATAATTTTGACAAACATGGTTGAAGTCAATTTTTGACATTACTCGAAAATCGAGATGAAATTGCGAAATTTGTCGACAAAGTAATCCGCTAAAACGTGAATTGAGATTGTAAAAACCGTAAAAAATATGACGAAGAGAGAGATATTCGAATAAATTAATTATTAACTCATTGGGTAATAATTCAAAATTCATTTTGTTAGACATACCAAATCAAGGCAATGTGAATAAGTACAAAAAGTGCTCACTGTAGTTGTTACGAATAACAAAAATAACAAGAAATTGAAGTAATAGATTTATAGTCGACGTCTATTTTTTTTCTTCTTTTCTTTTTGTTTCTTATCTTTTTTCCTTTTTTTCTTTTCATTTTTTCCAACCAATGCAGACAAAAAGAATTATTCTACGATCGTTTTTTATCATTTCATTGTCTATTATTTGCCTAATGTGAGAGTATGCCAACAAGTTGTTACTGCAATAGTTAATATAAAAAACCATCATGCATCCAATCATAAAACATTACGAACTAAAAGAAGTGGGCATATTTGTTCTTTAATTACTTACACCCTGAAGACGGACGGAAAAATGGCTTACACATGCTTAAGTATGCGAAGAAGTATTTATATATATTGCTATTTACTCACATCATGCACAAACTCTCCACCTAGTCTTTGTTGTGCGTCCTGAAGAAAGAACGAAAAGAGTCAGTTTCCATCGTATGCCTTGACATACGATAGCAGAACAGCACAAAAGATCTCACAAGGTCGCGTCAAAGATTACATATCTTTGTCATTTAGTAGAATGACAACCATCCCTTCGAATGTGGGTGTCTTTTCTCTATCTTTCATCCACACCCACACCCTGCTAATTGAATTCAAACGAATTTCACAAGTGTAAACATAATCCTTTGAAAACCTATATGTTTTGGATAATATACGATAGATCTTTATTCGGAATCATTGAGTAAAGTAGGAGTATTATTGATATATAAGAGATCATTAAATGAATACAATAGGTAAAATGTTAAAAGAGGAACGCTAAGTATTGTTACACACTTTTGTTTTTGTTAGAGATGGAAAAAGCAAATTGAAAATATACCGAAGAAAAGAAGATACATGATTGAATGGGAAATATTTGGTCACGGTGTTCAAACTATCAAAAAAATGCAGTACAGGCGGCCATGCATGATCCTTGTGCAAGACTGCAAGCTAAATCAGTTTCCACTCCGTAGATAACGCGAGCTAACTTGTAGCATACCATAGTACCCTTGTTACAAGCCGTTTGACAAGTACCATAGGCTGCCGCATCACAGGCTACGAAATAGGATATAATGAGTAAGAAAAACCATAAAATCTTCATCTGTTTTGTGAATTGCATCGGATTCTAAAACAGACACGTAAAATAATCTTTGTAATCATCACAAAATAATATATCTAAATTTTGCGCCCTTATACGACTTATATAGTAGTGTTTGTTTCTCTGAGAATAACTGGTTCAAAATGATTTTTTACTGTTGAGAACTATATATGGTATGTCTATAGTATGAATATGCGAACGTTTTATTGTGGGAAAAAACCCACAGAACAGAAAAATGAAGAGAAAAAACCCACAGAACAGAAAAATGAAGAGAAAAAACCCACCGAACAGAAAAGTGACGAGAAAAAGCAAACAAAGAATGATCGAAGTTACTTACCTCATCTGCGCTATAAAAATGTGAAGTGGATCATGTGCTATTTCTCTTATTGCCACTATGCTTTTTAAATCTACCATTCCACAAAAAATCATTTACTCAGTAATTAAACAAAAAATCGTAAACTTATAAATACTTGAGATTTAGATAGTGTGGACGTTGTATCCGTCTATTTTTCCATATCCACCCTGGAACTCACAGGCTTGACTGCATTGATCATCTCCTATCACAGAACTTCTTTTCTCACTCCAATTATTTTCTTTTCTAAGATGACCTTGTATCGAGTTTATAAAATTGAAATATGTAGGTGGGATGTGGCTGTGATTATGAGAGAGTGAAGATAATTATTTCCATACCCGCACTCATTCACAGCCACAGTCACATCTACACCCTCAAAGTATATGAGACTTACTTTTTTCACAGTGGAGAGAAAAAATAATTATTTATTAAACATCAAATAAAAGGTCGATTGTTTCCATAAAAAACTAGCTTTGTAAAAGATTATAGCTGTAGTCTTAATTTTGTATTATTTTCTAATGCTTTCTTTATGTATCGCTTTGCATTAGCACTGAGTCCATTCAAGAGTAGGTCTAGTAAAAGGAGTGTCTGTTGAGAATATTGAAAAAGTGACTGAATGAGAAGATCTGAAGATGAGAGTGGAATCTTACTTTATTTTGTTGTAAAGCAGCGGCAAGATGTTGCGCTCCTTCGTCAGCGATTCGATTCATTCTGAGATCAAGCTGAGTGAGTGTCTATGAAAAAGAGTGAGTAAATGATACCATACAAAGATGAAGATGTTACATCGTTTTTTTGTAAAGCATCAGCAAGATATTCCGCTCCTTGGTCATCGATTTGATTACTACCGAGATAAAGTACACTGAGTGTCTATATGAAATAAGGAATGAATGCTAGCATGAGAACTTCTCGATGTTACTTTGTTGTGCTGTAAATACTTGGTAAGATGTTGTATTCCTTGAGCAGTCATATTATTCCGTCCAAGATCAATTGTCGTGAGTGTCTGTTTAGAATGAATAACGACTGATAAGATGAATACATGAAGATATTACTTTGTTTTGCTCGAGACTATCGACAAGATATTGTATTCCGTCATCATCAATATCATTGTTGGAAAGCGCAAGTGTAGTGAGTGTCTATGACAATTAATAAATGACTAATAGGATGAGAAAATCAGATGATCACTTCATTTTGTCGAAGAGCATTGGCAAGATATTGTACTCCTTGTAGACCGATGGGATTACTAGAGAGGAGAAGTATGGTGAGTGTCTAGGTAAAACGGTTATTAACTAATGTAATAAAAGAATTATAAAATAGTACTCGATTTTGTTGTAGAACCTTGGCAAGATATTCTATACCCTCACTAGAGATGAGAGTTTTAATTAGATGAAGTTTTGTGAGTGTCTTAATACAATAGATAACTAATTGTCAGAATGAAAAGATGAGACTATTACTTTGTTTTGATAGAGCGCATTTGCAAGATGTTGTACTCCTTTGTCACCAATGAAATCGAAGGTAAGAGAAAGTTTGGTGAGTGTCTAATCACAAATAGTGAGTAACTTATAACATGTGCAGATAAAGATGTTACTTGATTTTCTTGTAGAGTATAAGCTAGATATTGAGCGCCTTCTTCACCGATGCGATTGGAAATGAGATCAAGTGTAGTAAGTGTCTGTATAGACAAGTATTAGATGAGAGAATCAGAAGATATGAATGTTACTTTACTTTGTTTCAAAGCATTACTAAGATGTCGGACTCCTTCAAGGTCAATATCATTGTCCCGAAGATAAAGTGTGATGACTGTCTATATTAAATAGTCAATGAATCATAATATAATAAGATAAGGATGTCACTTTGTTTTGTTGAAGAAAATTAGCAAGATGTTGAGCTCCTTGAGCGCCGATACATTGTCTTTGAATGTACAGAGAGGACAAAATCTATATGTATGAAATTTTTTTATTACTTATCATAAATATGATGTACTCTGAATAGCTTTCAAATGGTGGTAGAAATAATACCTTTGTTTTTTAATGTGCTCAAATGAATTAATTCAATAACAAATTTTGATGAAACTGATGTATTACTACTTATTTAAGTAGCATCCATTTGATCAGTACTAGATAACAATATTGGGATTCAAATTTTATTTAACTGTTCGATTTGAAAACCTAGTAATTATTCTTGTACTCATATAGATTTTTTTTAGAGGATTATATAGTAGTGCAGAGCAATTAAACTTTTCCTTAACTAAATAATATCCACAACTAAAAATGAAAGGATTTCTACTGATAATTGATAACGGTTGATCATCGTTGCGTTAAAAGATTAGTCTTGCCGATAAACTGACTAATTTAAAATATTATATGCCCATATCGAGCCTGGACCGAGATAGCCTCATTTTTCGTTTTTTAATGATGGCTGGATAGAGCTCGTCGAATTACATGAGGAAAATCATATGTCAAATCTGAAAAATGGTTTTTTTACGAAACAAAATGACAATAAATTAGTTTTTGAAATATCAGAATAAATAAACAGAAGTTCAACTTTCGTAAAATCTTTTTTTTAATTGCAACACACTTTTTCTTATGCAATTCGACAGGCTCGATCCATCTATTATAAAAAAATAGATTCCGCTGAACTTTTTATTGTGGGTACATTCCATACATTATAAGCACTTTGAAATAAGAATGTCTCGATCCTGGCTCACTGTAGGCACGTCAGTTTCTCGGCGAGAGTGGGCTTTTTACCTAATGATAATCAACCTTTTTCATTGTAAGAAATCCATTTCGTAAAAGAAGAGTTCATGAAAATATAATCTATTTCTATGAATAAACAATATATTGAAAACTTACCTGATACGGATAATAACTGTCGATAATCATATTTATTCGTGTACAAACATTTCGTATGGAGCATATAAGACTATATTTGTCAAGTTGATCAAGAATTCGATAAATAATTTCGACTGGTAATGTAACAAGTGAC